TGAGGAATGAACAAATCTTTGAAAGTGGCATGAATCACCCGCGAAAGAGCAGCTAACCGAGACAAAGAGATACCGATCAGGATCATTCAGTGCACCCACCCACCTCCATTTGCGCGCTTAGCTCAATTTCAACAAAAAAAATATAGGGGAAAATCAAGGGAGAATAAATGAGCCCTAACTGAATCTGAGATGATCCTGACCAAACCTGGTGGTAACCATCACCATGTGAGTAATTTGAACGATTATGGACCCTATTTCTATGTTTAGTGACTATAAGGTAGGCCTAGTTGTCACAATATTTAAACACAATATACAGATCATATATCGTTCATCGCTAAATTATTTAGCGCACCGCTTTACACCATGACGAAAGACATCATCAGCAGAGATTCGACGCACCAAGTAGGTAGAAGAAGCCTGTACGAACAAAACCGCTTCCTATAATCATTTACGAACTAAAAAAAACAAATAAGATAGCACTTGTTGGTTCGACCTCACAATCATGCAGTGATGAAAAATTGAATATATAGGTTTGTAAAGTTCAAACGAACAAATGCCAAAAAAAGTAATGCAAACGCATAACCTTTGCATAAGCATCACCTTCTTGTTCTTCAAATTTAAGTTAAAAACGTACCGTAAGGCCTCAATCGAGAGATCACAGCTGTGGCTAGCATATGCCCGTATTAGGAATAAACGTGCACGTGCGCTATCACTCGAACAGAAGAAGAAACCCGTAGTTGTATGGAACGAATAAAAGGCAACACGAGATCATTCGTTTTGAGCATCACATGGCGAGCAACTTTCTAATCCGCTGCAATTCGCTGGTGAGCTGATCAACGAGCACTCGTCGTTTAAATCGGCGCGAGTCGCGCAATGCGAAATCGGCCAAGTCCAACTGGTCCAATAGCGAACAATCTGCTGCTGTCTCACGACAAAGATCCGTCCATACGGTACCATCTAAAATAGTAATTTTCCTGGATTGGAAAATGAATAAAGTCAAATCAAAAATCGTACTGTTCGCGTGTCGCCGAACAATTTCTGCTATCCGCAACTTTCGTTCCATCATTTGCTCTTCAGACAATCGTTCGGTTTTTCGTCTTTTTGGTGGTGTTGCTACCAGTTCTTCTTCTTCTTCCTCGTCTGCACTCTCTGCTTCCAATTCCAGTCCAGCAAACTCGTTCTGCATTTCAAAATGACTAGTATATTTGCAGCAAATGGAAGGAAAAAAA